AATTCAGCAATTGTTAGGGCTTTTATCTAGATATCTCCCCTAAGCCATCTGCACTCATTGGTAGGGCTTTTCAGAGCTGGCTGGGTGTAGAATGTGGATTAAGGGTGTGTGGTAACTGGATTAGTCCACTGATTGGATTGGCATAGTTCTGGGTGTGGCTGACAGATGGATTTAGTATGTTATCTACAGTGTTCCATCCAACAACAAAATACACATTCTTTTCAGCAGCACTCGGAACTTTCTCCAAAATAGACTACATACTAGCCAATAGAGCAAACTTAAGTAAAAGAATTGAAACTGTACCATGCATATTATCATCATAGCTCATAGCACAATGAAATTAGAACTCTACAGCAAGACAACATAGAAATGCAAATGCATGGAAACTAAATAATACTGTGCACTCTTGAAGAAGGTAGTGAGACAAGGTCTCCGCTCTGTACTTCAGTCTGGGCTTGAACTCACTATGTAGCCTAGGCTGTCCTTGAACTCTTATGATCCTCCTATCTCAGCCTCCTGAGTGCTGAGATTACAGGTGTGTGCCACCAAACAATACATTCTTTCTTCTTTTTTGGGGGGGGACCTTGCATTTGAAAGGCAGGTGGCAGAACCACTGAGCTAAATCCCTGGCCCCAAACAATACTTTCTTAAATAAACTATGGGTTATGGAGGAAATCAGGGACAAAATAGTTTCTAGAACTAAATGATAATGCTGTAGAACATACTGGAACTACAGGACACAATGAAAGCAGTTCTAAGAGAAAAGTTTATATCTGTGAGTGTCCATATCACAAAAACAGTGTTAAGGTTTATATCTAGATAGCCACTCAAGGGCTCATGCACTCACTCACAGGTGGGACTTTTGAGAGCTAACTGGATCATGGTTGTGTGATACTGAATTAGCCTGCTGATTGGTTTAGCATAAATCTGGGTGTGGATAACAGATTTATTGAAGAGAAAAGACCCCTCTTGTGTTTGGGTGGCACCAACCAACAGGCTAATAGCCTGGATGAAATAAAATGGAAAAAAAGGAAAGCTCTCTGTTACCTATGCCACCATAGACTCTTTCCCCTCTGCCATGCAACCTTGGCTTGAAGCCAGCTGACTATGGACTGAAACCTCTACAAACTATGAGCTAAAATAAATCTTTCTTCCCTTAATTTGTGGGTGTCAGGTTTTTTGTCACAGCAATGAAAAGGTGATTAAGACAAAGATAAAGGCCAAATACATACCTTAATGATACACCGCAAGGCTCCAGAAAAACAAGAACAAGCTAAACCCAAAGTTACTCTAAGGAAGAAAATTATAAAAATCAGATCATAGGGCCGGGGATTTAGCTCAGTGGCATCATGCCTGCCCTGCAAGTGCAAGGTCCTGAGTTCCATCCCTGGTACCAAAAAAAAAAAAAAAATCATCATAATCAATGAAATTGAGAGGGGGAAAAATACAAAGAATTAATGAATTAAAGAGTTGATTCTCCAAAAGAATAAATAAAATAACAAACTCTTAGCAGATCTAACCAAAAACAGGAAAGGAAAACCACAAATCAATGCAATTAGAAATGAAAAAGGTAAAATCACATTAGACATTGCTAAAAATTGAAAAGACTACTAAGAACCATTTTGCAAAAAGCTGTACACCAATATATTGAAGAATTCAGAAGAAACAGGTTGATTTCTACATATATATGATTACTAAAACTGAACCAAGATTTAAAAATCTGGAATAATTCAGTAATAGGCAATGATACTGAAGGTCTAATTTTTTAAAAACCCAACACCAGGGCCAGGGATTTAGCTCAGTGGTTTTGTCGCCTGCTGCGCAAGTGCAAGGACCCGAGTTCGATCTCCGGTACCAAAAAAAAAACAAAAAACCCAACACCAATATTCCTTAAGCTTTTTAATGAATTGGAAAGGGGAGTATATCCAAAGTCATTCCTGGAAGCTACCATTACCCTCATTTCAAAACCAGGCAAGGATCTAACCAAAAAAGAGAATAACAGGCTAATCTTTTTAATGAACATAGATGGAAAAATCCTCAATTAACGGGGCTGTGGATTTAGCTCAGGCTGTGGAGTGCTTGCCCAGCAAGCATGAGGCCCTGGGTTCAACCCCCAGTTCCACCAAAATCCTCAGAAAGATACTGGCAAACAGAATGCAACAACTCATCAAAAAGATCATACAGTGTGACAAGTAGGCTTCATCCCAGCCAGGGATGCAAGGATTGTTCAACATACACAAATCAATATATGCAAATCATCACACGAACAGCAACAATGACAAAAATTACATGATCATCTCAATAGTCACAGAAAAAGCCTTTAACAAAATCTAACATCCTTTCATGATAAAAACACTTAAGAAAATATGCCTAGAAAGACTATCTCAGTCTGATAGCCATTTATGACAAACATACTATCAACATCATATTAATGGGGAAAAACTGAAACTTTTCCTCTAAAATCAAGAACAAGACAAGATGTCCACTATAACCACTCCTGTTCAACACAGTTCTTGAAACTATTAGCAAGAGCAATGAGACAAGAAAAAAGTAAAATACAAGAGATATATATATATAAGAAAGGAAGGGCCGAGGATTCAGCTCAGTGGCACTGCACCTGCCTTGCAAGTGGTTCAATTTCCAGTACCACAAAAAACAGAAAGGAACAAAGGGAACAGGGGATGTCTTTCTATTTTCTGATGTCTTCTTTGATTTCCTTTTTTAGAATACTGTAGTTTTTATTGTTGAGATCTTTCACTTCCTTGGTTAAGTTAATTCCTAAGTAATTTTTCTTGGTGCTATTATGAATAGTACTTTTTTCCTCAGATTAATCAATTACTGGTGAACAGAATGCTACTGACTTTTGCATTTTGATTTTGTGTCATGCTACATTATTTGGTTTTTAATTCTAACAGTCTTTTTGATGGAATATTTTGGATCTTCTATGTAGAGGATCATGACATCTGCCAATAATAATAATTTGCTTTCTTCCTTTCTTAGTAAATTCAAGGCCAGCCTGAACTTCATATACGCAGTGAGACCCAGTCTCAAAAAAAAAAAAAAAAGAGCAAAATAAAGGATAAATAATAGGAAGAAGAGAGAGAAATTTTTCTCAAATAGGAAGGAGATCAAGAGATGGAAGGAGAGGGAAGGGGAATAAGAAGAAAAGGAATTAAGATGTGTTATGTCCATGTACCAACTCCACAGAATGAATGTAAACATTATGTACTACAAACATGTACTAATAAAAAAATAAGCAGAAAACTTTCTAACAAAAGAAATTAAGGCTACTTACCGCTGGGTTGAATTAATCTCCCTGATGTTTCTTAATTGAGTCAACATGCTATGGAAAGCAAAAGAGAAATAAAATTAATTAAAAATGTATTTTTTATAACTAAGGAACATCTCCTTTAATTTGTAATTTACATCAAATGTTAAAATGAAATTCTTAAAAACTGACCATTATAAATTGAAAATAGTTATAAGCAAATAGTCAAACCCTAATGCTCATTTCTTAAAAATTATACAAGCATAGGCCGGGGATTTAGCTCAGTGGTTCCAGTGCCTACCACACAAGTTCAAGGTCCTGAGTTTGATCCCCCCCCCCAAAAAAATACACACACACACACACACATATATACAAGCACATGTGCTCACACATATTTGTGAATATCTAACTAAATACGTTGTTTTAATATATTTACTTGTAAACTACTAAGATCCTTTATCAAAAAACAAATACTTTTCATTTTTCTGAAAAATAAAATTTTTCCATACACATAAACTCTAATCACCAATTATATGTAAATTTAGTAGTTTTTGATCAGTCTCTGGTACAGGTACTGATAATTACTCATTAAATTTATTTCCACTTTTAAGAATCTACTCAGTGTAGTAACAGGCCCAGCTAAATGCCTGGCTTTCTAGGCCAAGGGGAGACAAGGGAAAGGCAACACAAGTGAAATCAAGGACTTGTACAGTATCTAGTAATCTGCTTAGGAGGTAGAAAAGGAGCCATTTGCTTTCCTGATAAACAGGAACAAATGTGTCTGAAACTAGTAATCTTCCATTTTTCTAGCCTTCAATCTATATATGATGTCCAGTGCTGCAACAACTATCCTATTACCATAAGTCAACAAGCATGAAGATTAAGTCTGTGGATAAATAAGGCTGACAGAATAGAATGACAAACTGAGCAAGCAGTCTCTAACAACACTGTTGAGTAGCTAAACTAACCCTAAATTCCTGACTATTTTTCAGCTTCTTGGTACTGTATGTGGTAAAATTAATTCTTGTATTTGTGTCCATCACTTCCACACTCTGTACTCACAGCCAACACATTTGAAAGTGAGACAGCCTAAAACCCAAACCAAGGGTCTTAATAAGTGTGTACCTTCTCCTTAAAAATTCAAAATGATATCCATAACACACGTTTCAGAATTTTACCAGTGATTCTCAATACATCAAGCTATTTTCCTCTGTGCTAAATGGTTTAAGACTTGATTTATTTAACCTTCTCAACAAATTCTACATATATCACATGCCACATATACTGGGGCGGGGGGGGGGGGGACGACACTTTTGTGTATAGCAAGCAAAGACTGCCAGTACATCTCATGTCCTTCAGTTTGCTCCCACAGAGAATGGAGCTGCTACAAGGCTGGAGATAAATGCAATTGTATTTTTGCTTTTAGAACTTTATTCTGAAACACCTGAACGATACCTGCCTGGGTGAACCCTAAGAAGTTGGATATGAAAATTTAGAGATATGAAAAAAGATCCGAGCTGAAGATATAAATTTGAAACACATCTGCTCATACATAATATTTAAAGCAATAAAAATTAGGTGAAATCATCAGAAGTCTGAGGGTAGACAGAAAAAAGAACAGGTCCAATAACAGATCAAAGACATAAAATTAGGGATCAGAAAGAAGAGATAGACTAACAAAGGGCACTGAAGAAAGGCAGTCAAATGAGGCAAGAAAAACCCTCAAAAGAACTGTGATAATCAAATAAAATGTTTTAAGGAAAGGGTTAACAAAAGCTGTTAATAAAGACTTAGAATTGCTACTGTTTGTTAACATAAAGACCACTGATAGCTTGATTAGACCACTTTTAGTGGAGAGGCAAAACACTGGGGGGATTGAAGAATAAGGAAGCAAGGACCTACCCCAGAGGTGAAGAGGCTGGAGAGAGAGTGGAGGGGAGATAAGAGGGGGAAGAGAAGGGAAAGGAAGAGAAAGGGAAGGGCAGGGAGTGCCTCAGAGGCCTGGGGCAGGATGGGGCTGGGCAGAGGGAAGGAAAGGGTGAGAGAAGCAAAGGGATGAGGGCAGAAGGATGGGCGAAAGGTGAAGGGCAAGGGGAGAGAGAAAAGGGAAGAGGGGGTAGGAAAGAGAGGGAAAAAAAAGAATGGATCCAAGAGATTATTCTACTTTTGGTGGGAGTGGAATAACGACATAAAGCATAATTTCTCAAGGATCTAATGACATGAAACATGCCAGTAGGAATGAGAACTAAAGTTTAACAGCACAAATAAAAAGAATTTTTTTAAAATTAAAAATTACTAATGTAGGACTGCATAACTCTGTAATCATAAAACTCCCCTAGCCCCAACTGTGACTGAATGTGAGTAAATAGATAAAGATGCTTCTTAGTTCCAGGACACTAGATAAGATCCGTATCAGCCATAATTATCCAACTCTCCCCCCCACACACACCACTATCTATAGAACAATCTACAAAGCATCTGCTATCAGTACCTGTCAGGCTAATTAACATACAAATGTAAGACCACTAAACTTTGTTCCTTCTTCTGTAAATTTCGCCTGTTAACTTCCCTGCAAGCCCCTATACAAAGAGCTTTGAACTCTGGACTGACGCCTCTCTAAGCTACTTTGCTTTGGGAGTGCCATCTGGCCAGACTAAGGTCTGTTTCACTTTCCAACTTGTCCCGTGTGTTCCTTCCCCGGTGTTCTTCGCTGCAGTCAGCTCCTTGGAGCATTTGGTAAGGCCCTTGGTCTCACATTCTGGAGGCACCGCTGGGATCCCCAGGTGTGCTCCACTACAGTCAGCTCCT